TGCGCGCGCGCGCACGCGCACGCGCACGTTTGGGAACTTGGAAAGCTTGAGCTGAACCGGAGGGAGAGAAACCCGAAAGAGCCCAAGGCGTAGGATGGATGGATGGATGGATGGATGGAAAGGAAGGAAGAAGCATGAGGCTATGGGCAGGGAGAACATAGGGAAATGCAAGGAGACAAATATCCCTCGGACAAAGTGAGAACAAAGACCCCGGTTGTACTTACTTCCCCCTGGCTTTGCCATTGGTTACCTAGGTGAAGGTTACATGTAGTGCCACTGCCCCTCCATGCCCATATTCATGCCCATTCCACTCATAGGTCCTAGAGGGAGAGAAAAAAATCCAAGGAGATGCCAGAGAATGAGCAAAGTCAACGGATAGTGCCAAAAAAGCCCCTTTCCAAAACGCAGCAGGGCGGAGGGGCCAGGACGGCTTCGAGTGAGAAGATGCCTGGCTCCCCTCGGCGGCGTTGAAGGCAGGCAGAAGACAGGCGAGGAGAGGCAAGGCAACGGAGAGGACGGCAGAGGTGAGGGCTACCTGCGGCGGGCACGACCGAGGGGGTCCGCACCGGGGGCTTACCTGGCGCTCGGATGCCCATGTGCTGCTGGCCGTCCATCACGAAACCTCCCATGGGCTGCCCGTCGGGGTTATAGGGTGTTCCTTGACTTACTGGAAAAGCGCAGAACATTGCTTTTTAGCCACAGCCAAAAGGGTCACCTCTTCTCACGGCGTCGAGACACAACTTCCCCCCAACTCAAAAGGGTCACCTCTACTCACGGCGTTGAGACACAACTTCCCCCCAACCCAAAAGGGTCACCTCTTCTCACGGCACTGAGACACAACTTCCCCCGCCCCAAACCCAGGGATCGCTATCGATGCCAGCTCTAAAAAGAGGGAAAACCATCTACTGTTGGGATTTAGCGGCCGGGCCAACAAGCCGGCTTGAGTTTTGGCTTGCCAAACCCAGGGACCGCCATCGATGCCGGCTCTAAAAAGAGGGAAAACCATCTACTGTTGGGATTTAGCGGCCGGGCCAACAAGCCGGCTTGAGTTTTGGCTTGCCAAACCCAGGGACCGCCATCGATGCCGGCTCTCAAAAGAGGGAAAACCATCTAGCGTTGGGATTTAGCGTCCGGGCTAACAAGCCGGCTTGAGTTTTGGCTCGATTTGCCGCAGCGAGTTTGGAAATGAAGCGAGCGATGGGCAATCTCGAGCCACGAGGAGCCCCGGCCCCAGCTGCTGCCGCTGCTGACGTCAATGCAAAGACCTGTATAGGAGCCGGATTTTACGGCTGGAACAGTCACACTGAAATGGCAGTGTGTTAAATTACGCCCCCGTGCCTTTCTAAGAGCAGGGACCCGAACGCGTCCCTGCCACGGACCGGAATGGACTGGAAGAGGAAGCGTGGCCCAAAGGCAGCTTGGATTTGGATAGTTGGGCAGCGAGATTCGGAAAACAAAACCATCTGAGAGTCACGGGCTATTCCTCGATGGTAAATACCCACACGGGGCTGCGAGCTGAGACCCCCAGACGGAGCCGGCATGAGAAAACTTCAGGTTTGAGTAAAAAAAAATTGATATATAAAAAAAAATAAATCCATCCCCCCCAAAGTAAAAGCCGAACGCTCAGCGATCCCAAAAGACAGCTACTACAAAGAAGATACAAAAGGACCCTACACAAGTTCCACTACCTGAACTCCGGGTTTTAACCGTACGTTAAAAGCCGGCTTCAGAAGTAAGCTGCCTTGGGTTATTAAAGCACATAAAGCTCTACCTCATTGAACGTCTTTGAACTTTACTGAGTCCCACAAGCGATTCTGACCCCTCTGCCCTTTCGACAGGTAATAAAGTTTACAGCAATTCCACACCAAGCCATGCACCGGGGAGCGGTCACAGGAGCAGAAAGAGCTGGGAAGGAAAACTCAAAACAACTGCTAAAATAAATAACTTTTAAGTCTGGACGTGTACGGCAAGTCCCGTCACGGAGCGGATCATTTTAGTTTTGGGGTTGGTTTTTTGGGTTTTTTTGAATGTTCAATGTCTTTTTTTTTTTTTCTTTTAATTCCTCCCCAAATATTTTAATCACGTTAAAATGATGAGGGTTGTAATGAAACAAAGCTGGGTGTATTTTAATTGTCAATCACTCCCAGCATTCATTTCTCATTTATTTACCAGGTAATGGACCTCCCGGTGAATGGCTTGAGGATGGTTTTCGCCTGCGTGACTTGAATACAGTTACTATTGGGGACTTGCCTGCTCGATTGGACTGGTCTATCATGGGCTGAACTATTCTTCTTCTAGCGTTAATAAACCTGCAAGAAAAAAAAAAAAAAAAAAGGAAGAAAAGAGGAAAGCAAACGGTTATGGAAGAGGGACGACTTCCACCCGTCCCCAAGCCCCCCCCGGCCCCGCCGCGGCGCTCTCCATCGGGCGGCGTGCGGATGCAAATCCTGCAAAACCCTCTAACCCCCCGTGACCTCCCAGAGCACGAGCTCGGGGTTTCCGAGCTGATTTATGTTCGCCTGCTTTTTTACCACAGCCGGACACTTCCATTTCATCTTTTCATAGGGGAATTAGCCGAGTTTTCA